AACTAGTCACTTCAGGGCAGGAGAGGCAGGAGGCAGGCCTTCAGGAGAAGATTCCTCATGGCTCCTGTGAACTAGTCATTTCAGGGCAGGAAAGGCAGGAGGCAGGCCTTCAGGAAAAGATTCCTTATGGCTCCTGCGAATTAGTCATTTCAGGATTGAACTTCAAGAATTAGGAAGAAACACACCATCCATCAGATGACTAGAAATCACCGCAGGACCACAAGAAATATGGGAAAGCAAGAAAATGCCTCTCCTCCAAGGGAAAAGAATAACTCTTCTTCAACCACAAGCAGTTCAATGGAAATGTCTGATAAAGAATTTAGAACATTCATAATGGCAACGCTAACAGAGATGGAAGAGAAGAGAGACAATGAACTGCAGAAGAGAACGGAGAAAGAAGCTGACAAGTTCCAGGAGGTAAGGAAATTCTTACAAGATCTAAAAGAGGAATTACACACTTTAAAAAAGAATCAAACGGAACTGTTAGAGATTAAGGCTATAATACAGGAAGCCAAAATCTCCCTAGAAAGTATTAAAAGCAGACTAGATCATACAGAAAATAGAATTTCAGACATAGAAGAGAAAATTGCTGGCCTAGAAAAATCCACCACAAAGGCTGAGAAAATTGCCCCCAAAAATAAAAATAATATACAAGAAGTACTAGATACCATCAAACGTCCAAACATCTGGATAACTGGCATTCCAGAAGGCGAAGAGACTCATAAGGGCATTGATAAACTATTCCATGAAATCCTGCAAGGAAACTTTCCAAACTTAGAGAGGCATTCAAAGATCCAGTCCCAAGAAATACAAATGACCCCAAATAGAATCAACCTAAAAAGATCTTCTCTAAGACATGTTATAGCCAGAAAGACCAAAACCACAGACAAAGACAAGATACTAAGATTAGCAAGAGAGAAACAGCAAGTTACCTACAAAGGATAACCCATCAGGCTAACAGCAGACCTCTCATCGGAAACAATGTGAGTGAGCAAAGAATGGGAAAATACATTCAAAGTGTTAAGGGAAAAGCAATTGCAACCGAGAATACTGTACCTGGGAAGACTATCCTTCATATGGGAAGAAAAGAGAAGAACATTCTCAGATTATCAAAACCTGAAAGAATTTACCAACACCAGGCCAGATCTCCAAGAAATTCTCAAGGGAGTGCTATGTCAAGAAAATTAAATGTAGTCACACAGAAATAAAAGTTCAAAAACTTAAGAAAATGGCCAACTTAATTATAGGGACAAGTCTGGAGTTGAATATTTTATCCCAGAATTCAATCAGGAAGATCGATTCACAACACAAGACAGATTAAGTACATGAGTCTGAACTGGAAATAGCATTCTGTGACTTTTGACTAAAATATTGCTGTTTTCCTTCTAGGCTTTGTTGTCCGGTTTTAAGAGTTTTTGTCCTCTCCTAAGCTGTCGATAGGTTCATGTACCTACTATTTGAACAGAATACTACCCTATTTCCAGGCTTTAAGTTTTAAGCAAAGTTCCTTAGCATTTCTTTATGTTAAAACTGGTTTTCTTAATAGGACCAAGTGAACTTGCTATAGAAAGTAGTTAGCTTATTTAAGAAATTGTATTATCAATACAGTGAGGGGGAAAAGGAATGGATTACAACTGTAGACACCAGAGATGGTGTGAGAAGAGGGTGGGAAAGGACAGAGGGTCAGAAATAGGGGTAAAAAAAATACTAGAAATGGAAACTTTTTTATAATAACATGCATGATAAAGCCATTATGCAGTATATTCTGGATGAGAAATCACATTTTGTATGCTGTGACGATGCTTAGGGAATGAATGTAAATTAAGTTAAAAAAAAAAAAAAAGAAAAGTTTCAGGGGAAAAAAAAACACAACAAAAACTGTATTTCTTGAAATTAAAAAAAATGCATTAAAAATATCTATTCAATGACTGCAGTAAGATATGTAGCACTAGCTAAGTGCTACTTTATAGGATGTTCATTCTACTCACTGAGGCTTATGCCTAAAGTTGGACTTGTGTTCATGGAAATGTACATATCAGCTGTGCTTGCTATGAAAATATTTAGATTAATTAAGATCTTTAGTGACTCGATAAAATTTTTGGGAAAAAAGTATAGAAAGCAAACATAGATACCAGAAATGGTGTGGGAAGAGAGTGGGAGATGGCAGAGGTTAAGACATGTAATCTTGGATGGGGAAAAAAAAAGCAAAATATACAGGAAACAAGAAATGGAAAATTATTTGTTGACAATAACATGGATGTTGATGCGCTTGATTGAGCGAATATACAGTGTACTCTGGATGGAAAGCCTCATTTTGTATGCTGTAACAATGTACAGTGAATGAATGTAAATAAATAAATTTTAAAAATCTATAATAAAAAAACACAAAAACAAAAGAAAACAAACAAAAAAACAACCACAGAGTCAGCCTGTAGTGTCGTGGTTAAAGCAACTAGATCCCACATGGCTGACAGTATGGTTCAAGTCCCAGACCTACTAGCCTGAGAAACATGCCAGGTGCATGGGTATGCCCAAAATCCCGAAAGCAGAGAGAACTGGGGGAGAAGGGATTACAGTGTGACAATTCCCAGTAGGGGATGCTTTCTCACTCTCCCTTGGCTATCTTTCTCTGCCTCTCTCTGGCAAGTGCATATGCCCTCTGGCAAAAATTTTTAAAAAGAGAAAATAAAATTAGATTTCAATAAGGTTATATTTCAAAAAAATAATGCAGTTTTCCAACCAAGGTAGCAAAGGATTTCTGAAATACTGATCCTCCTTCTTCAGTCTCACCTGGGCAGAGAGACTGGTGGGCTTAAAGGAGAGCTGATGTGGAGGGTTATCTGTCTGGAGCCTGTAGAGGGAGCAGCTTTTTCTGTTTACCTACTATTCCATGCAGATACTGTCATTTCCTATGGGTGCTATAATATGAAAGCTAGAAAGCAATGACCTAAGAATGGTTTCATGTGGATCCAAACACTGTTCAAACACTGGAAAATAATTCAATACCTTAAGCACACTTAGCAGTTTCGCTCTTGGTGCCTTCTGTCTCTTCAGAAAGCTGTATAAGTAGACATGGGCATTCGGATTGGATGGAAACCTCTCATCATACGCATAATTGGTGAGTACTTCTCGGGCACCATCTTGATCCCCATAGAATTCCAGCATCTAAATAAAATATGTCATAATATCTCACCTAAATTTTGTAGTATTGTGATACCAAAGATTATGTATAGCTGAACTTAAGATCAATTACAACAAAGACCTTTGTGTGTTCCCATTTACCTGATCATATTTTTGTTACTCTCTCACTTGTCTCTCAAGAGTGTGCATATGCACTCTATTATTACTGCAGCAAATTTCATCATAAGAACTGCTCCTATAGAAAATAAGGGTCCTCAAAGCAGGGCACACTAATAACGAATAAAAATGTGGCAACTAACCCCAATGCCCTAACTCACTTAGCCATGAAAGGAATGCATGAGAATTATAGTTTATTTCATTTCATTCCCATCCTTACACGGGAATTCCAGATTCACTGTCATATGGTTTTAGAGATTATCTTGTGACAACGCAATTACAACTTTCACATTCATTAGCACAAAGCAAATTATTTTGAAGATTTATTCCTAGTGTCCAGTGCCGAGGCCCTCTGTCCTTTTAGAATGACTTTGGGATAAATGGATATTTTTATGAACTTCCTAAAAACCATTATTCTTTATCCCATATACTATGACCTTGTTTCAGACTTTTGTCTCTTTCTATATCCCACCAAATCACAAAAGATCTTTCTGCTCTTGTCTAAGTTCAATAAGAATAATAATTGACATTTACAGTTATATCCTATTTGTTTTATAGATAATTGGCCATGACAATTATCCAATAAAGAAAACGAATAAACATTTATAATATTCTGGTTAAGTAAGCAAAAACTAACCCAAAAGAGATGCCATTTTTTTTGTCTCTTTGTTTTAATTAAGATTAGGCACATAGTCTTATGACAAAATGAAGCCAGAAAAATTTGAAATGCCTACTTGCCTCTACATAACTCTTCACGAAAGGATCCCAAACACCAGGAATTTGAATCAATGCACCAAGATTAACAGATGTCTTCCAGCTGTGATTGAACATATTTTGTGTTGCTGTGCTATAAGCATAATCATCTTCATCTGTCCAAAGGTAAAAGGTTTATAAAAAACATTTAGTATTAAAGACTACTGTTAAATTAGCAATTTAAAAACCACCCACAAGAAAGCTTAGGTCCTGTTAGCTTCACTGGTGAATTCTAACAAACATTTAAGGAAAAACATTAATTCTTCACAAACTTTTCTCTCAAAAAGGGGAGAACACACTTCCCTACTTCTTCTATGAGCCCAGTGCTACCCTGATACCAAAAACAAAGAAAATGCGAGAAAACAAAAGATCGGTATCGCTTATAGGTCAGTCATCTTATAGATAACAAATGTCCTCAACGATGTACAGGCACACTCAGACCAGAAGTATATTCCACCCCAACTAAGATCTATTTTAGCAATGCAAGGTTGATTTAACACCTGAAAAATCAACAAATGCAAACAATAAAGATCTACTGATTTAAACCAAATCAATAGGTTAAAGGGCAAAGACCACATGATCATCTCAAAAGATACAGAAAAAGGACCAGCTCTGTGGTATAGCAATAATGTACAGCTCAGGAAAAGCTGGATCCCGTATGGCAGTCACAGTTTTCAATATCCAGCTCAGTCAGCCTGAAACACAACAGGCACAAATGCCGAAGATTTGACAGGCTGGAGGTCTGGAAAAAGGGAAAAAAATGGCACGATCACATCTGGTGGAGGATGCTGCTTCTCTCTCTCACTTGTCTCTTAAGTGTGTGCATACGCACTCTATTATTAATAACAAAAAAATGGAGAAAAAATTTTGAAAAAATGCAAAAGCCCTTCATGATTTAAAACACACACACACACACACACACACACACTCAATAATCTAATAGAATATTCCTCAATAGGTCAACTCGGTGGCTCATTGGTGAAACACAGTTCAGAAGAAGTCAGATCCCACATGGCTCACTATGGCTCAAATCCCATCTCCAGCAGCTTGAAAAGAATGCTGGGCATATGTGTATGCATGCCCAAAATCCTGGTGGAATGGAAAGAAAAAAAGACTGTGGCATGACCATGCCCAACTGGAAGACTTCTCTCTCTCTCTCTCTCTCTCTCTCTCTCTCTCTCTCTCTCTCTCTCTCTCTCTCTGCTGAATAAATGCACCAAAAAAAAAAAAAAAGCATAAAATTTTTAAGGATAAATATATTAAAAGTAGGCAAGACCCCCAAAGTATAAACTGAATGTGACTTGTACTACGAAAAGAGGTTCCTGAGACATCCTTATAGAAAAATCTGAAGTTGACTCAGCAAAAGTTCACATAGTGGGGGACCAGCAGTTAGCGTAATGGCTATGTCGCTGGACTCCCATGTAGTTGACTGCAGTTCGAGTCCTGGACCCGGCAGCTTAAATTCATGCCAGGCACGTGTGCGTGCACGCCCAGGATCGTGAGAGGAGAATGGAGAAGAAGGGATTGCGGCGTGGCCATCCCCCCTCGGGGGGGTGATTTCTCGCTTTCTGTCTCTCTGTCTCTGTCTTTCTTGCAAGCACATGAGCCCTGTAACAAAAACCTTTCCAAAAAAGAAAAAAAAAAAAAAGTTCACATGGTAAGTGGTTATGAGTCTGGTAATACAGACTCATCAAAAAGATGTTTCAGGTTAAAGATCACCTAAGAGCGCCACATATTATTCCATCTTCATCTCTTATTGCTACAAAACAGTCACCTTCAAAAAGGAACTGAATCCATGGGAGTGATATCATAAATGGCACGCTCCAGTAGTTTCAGTGATCAAATATTTGCTTGAGTTCTACAAAACCATGTGTAAGAAGAAAAGTAAATACTGACTTTAAAATTGACCTGAAATTTTAGAGCAATTAAACAACAAGAGATGAAGAGCCAAATGATACAGACTGAACATGCAACTAATATATTAGATTGAAGTTATAAAAATGAGAGGTTGGAACAGTCTATGAGTCTTGTTTAATTTTTTTTTTTAAGAGAGATTTTTGGGGAACCAGCAGTTAGCGTAATGGCTATGTCGCTGGACTCCCATGTAGTCGACCAAGGTTCGCATTCCGGAACCGGTGGCTTAAAATTCACACCGGGCACGTGTGCGTGCATGCCCAAGATCCCGAGAGGAGAATGGAGAAGAAGGGACTGCGGCATGACCATTCCCCCTGGGGGGTGATTTCTCGCTTTCTGTCTCTCTGTCTCTGTCTGTCTGGCGAGCGCACATGCCCTATAGCGAAAAAAAAAAAAAACTCTCACAAACAAAAGAGATTTTTGCTATAGGGCACATGTGCTCACCAGAGAGATAAAGAGAGACAGAGAGACAGAAAGCAAGAAATCACCCCCTAGGGGGCATGGCCACGCCATAATCCCTTCTCCAGTCTCCTCTCAGGATTTTGGGCATTCGTGCATGCACACCCGGTGTGAGTTTCAAGCCACCAGATCCACTCGAACTGCAGTCAACTACCTGGGAGTCCAGTGACATAACTAAGTGTCTTAAGAGAGAGATCACAGGCAGGAAGAAGAAAAGGAACTGAAACTAGTGAACCTGCATGCCCAAAGAAATGTTACTTATTAAATAAGGATCATAAATACTATTTTCCACATAGATGGAGGATGTGAAAATAGGAAGAGGTTAATCATAGCGGGTACAGTGAAAAACTACACAAGAGAAAAAGAAAGTGCAGAGAATCACACAGCTTGAAGGAATGCAAATCTGGGGGTAGGAGAGAATGACATCAACGCTGAAGGTTAAAAGAGGGAATTCAGTTTCAGAACTGAGTAGTCAGTAGTTGATATAATAAGTCAAGAAAATTGTCATTATATCCTTTATACAAAATGAAATTACTTTATCTTGCTTTATCCTTTAAACATATTCTGAGAATCACTATAAGACAAACTAAACTCTACTCTAAACACACAGAAAAAAATGTTCATTATAGGTAATAATAGCTGAAGAAAATTTATAAACTTTCCTGGAAATTGACAAAGATTCTTTCCTGGCCCAAATGCCAGCCATTCTCCTCTGAGCCCACTCTGGGCCAGGCCTGGGCTAGGTTGAGACTGTGGTCCGCAAATACCTGAACAAACACTAACATAATTCTTAACAGTTTAAGACTGCATCGCTAGAATGATCCTCTCTCCCCCAGAAGTGCCTGCCTAAAAAAGCTCAAGGCTGCCAAAAGAATTTACTGTTTGTTCAAGCAAACACCTGAAGGAAGTACCCTTACCCCCAGACTATGTGGGAGGGTAGGTGCCCATCTCCCATAAGCACCAGTTAGTAAACCCAGATGAGTTTCACACAGACCAACTCACCCTGCCCCAGTCTTTTTCTAATTTTTCACTTCCCTGACTTGACTCAAACCCATGCCACCATCCACCCACTCTCCCATTCTTCCCTCAAAACTGAGTCACCTCTGTACAAATCGGAATGAAGTTTAGCTCCTTTCCCTAACAGGCTGGCCCATCTTTCTCTTACTCTCAGTAGTTACTGAACAAAATCTATTTTCACTGCTTGGACTAGCATCCAGCTGTGTTTATCTTCAACAAAAGCAGGTTTTAAAAAAGCAATAAATCTAAAATAGTCATGACTTAACTATGACCCATCTAATTATAAATGAAAAGTCTTTTGATACATCAGAAATATAAAGGATGATCAAGAATTTTAAGTCAAGGAAACCAGCAGTTAGCGTAATGGCTATGTCGCTGGACTCCCACGTAGTCGACCGCGGTTCACGTCCTGGACCCGGTGGATTAAAACTCACGCCGGGCACATGTGCGTGCGTGCCCAAGATCCTGAGAGGAGAATGGAGAAGGGATTGTGGTGTGACCATCCCCCCTGGGAGGGCGATTTCTGTCTCTATGTCTCTCTCTGTCTGTCTGGTGAGCGCACGCACCTTAAAGCAAAAAACCCCTCTCCAAAAAAAAAAAAAAACCCCCCCCCAAAAAAAAAAAAAAAAAAGAATTTTAAGTCAATAACATGTCTGTTCTCTGCAATATCCAGAGGAAGTCAGCAGGGGGATTACTGGAATATTCTTCAAGATCCTTTCTGCCCATCAGTCTCATCACCACAAGAGCTTACTTGTATTCACTTACCGAGTTTTGACAATTCCATCTTTTTTTTAGACCACGTATAATACTGCAAAAGCCCTTTATAGGCCTGAATAAGATTGATTAATATTTCCTGGGATGATGACTTTTCACCGTATCTCCATGTCTCTGCCTGACTTAGATTTCTTTTCGCATCCTCAAGCATTCCATGATGCAGAAGGTATAGAGCATGTTGTAAGGAGATCTGCAACAACAAGAAAACTCTCACTGACATTTAAGCCATTCAATAACCATTAGTCAAAAAACTTGGTAAATAAATGATATACGTAGGACTAAGTCCCTGGTAGGATACAAATGACATAACATTATCCCTATCACCAAAATGATCAATCCAGCGAAGAGGAAAGATACAAGAAACAATTAACACTATGTGAAATGAGAGCTAAATTGTGTAAACTTGTAAACAGAATACAGAGTGATATGAGAGAAAAGCAGGGGCTTTGAAAACAATGTCCTGGTCATATGCCACTTAGAAGCTAAATTAATCTGGGCAAGTTATTCACCTTTTGAGTTCCATCTGTTTTTCTGAACAATTATTATTGTCATTATTTTAACTTGTAAGAGGTTGCGCATGCCTGCCGGGGGCAGGCAGAGGGAGAGAGACAGGAAGAAAGCACCCACCATGGAGACTGGTGATTCTACAATCCCTTCTCTATTTCTCCCTCCTTTTGGGATTTTTGGGCACGTGTATAAGCGCACACACATGTGCAAACATTCACCTGGTGAGACCCAAACCACAGTCAGCCATATGCGATCCAGGTGCCTTAACCGCCATGCCATGGACTAGCCCTGCAACAATTATTATTAACCCTTCAAAAGGATGTTGCTGAAGATTACGTGAAATAATATTTGCCTACCCACTGCAGTTTGACTTAGCAGATATACAATAAACATAACTATTATATACACGTCATATAAGTTCAGAGAAAAACATCTTAATAAGAGATGCTAAAGAATGACTTTGGTTCAGATGGAAAGCCAAGTGTTTCCCTGATACAGGAAGAGGGTAACTAGAACTACACAAAGAATGAGCATGCAAGAAGGGAAGCCATTAAGAATAATGGGAGGTACAATTAATCATATGGACAGAGCCAAATTAGAGTTTAAGACCCTCATCTCAAACTACTGCAATCATTTCTTAATGGTCTCTCCATTCCTGTTCCCCTGCAATCCATCTTCCATGTAACTATCAAATAAATCTCATCTTCTTAGTCATTTGTGAAAAATCCTTCAAAGGTTCCCAGTGCCTACAGGATAAAAATCCCAGCTCCTTAGGTATGGCACACAGGGCCAGTCTACATTCCCTGGCTTCAAGCCAGCGGATTTTGAGAGGAAATAAAACAGGGATATGGGGCTATCCAACTCTTTATTACCCCTACCATGCCAGACCACTCTTTTCCTGTTTGTCTAGTGAACACCCACCTGCTTTTTCAGACTCATCCTAAGTATCACCTCCTCTCTTCCTGACTCCCCTACCCATTCATCCCAGCCTTCCCTAATTCCAGAGAACTGATCATTTTCTCCTTTGTCTTCTCAAAGAAGACATACGTTGCATTTCTACTATAGTACCATAACAGTTCATTCCATTTACATCATTGTCTCCCTCTACTTAAAGAACCATGTCTAACACTTTGCCAGGAAGACCATAATATTTTTAAGTCATTAACAAAAAATGTTTTATTGCCTACCCTTATTATCATCCTCAGACTCAAGAGTAATAAGAAATGAAGTTACCCCCCATTTCCTTTGTCTTTTTTTTTTTTAAGAGTTTTTTGCTATAAGGCGCTTACACTCGCCAGAGAGACAGAAAGCAAGAAATTGCCCCCAGGGGGATGACGACACCACAATCCTTTCTCCTCTATTCTCCTTTTGCAATTTTGGGCATGTATGCATACATGTCTGGTGTGAGTTTTAAGCTGCCAGGTCCAAGATTCAAACCACAGTCAACTATGTGAGAGTCCAGCAACATAACCATTATGCCATCTGCTGGTCCCACCCTCCATTTTCTTTACTTCAACTAAGTAGATTCTATAAGCCAAAGCATACCTAACCAATAATTTAGCTACAACTCCACCGCTCCCTTTCCAATCAAATGGCTATCCAGTTTCTTCCTGAAAGAAGAAATGAGGAGCATACAATATCAAGGAAAAACATTCCTTTTTCCAAATGTTCAGTTAGAAAGCTTTTAAGTGGAAGCATCCACTGCCTCTATTTAATTTCCACTCACAGTATGCCTGGACTACAAAAGAACAAGATCACAGAAGATGTGGCACATTATAGACACTCAGGAAATGTTTCATAATTAATAAGACCTAAAATGAATCCTAAACTGGGGAAACCTGTTTTCAAAATTAGAAAGTAGGAGGAATGTAAAATGGTGTGGCCACTGTAGAAAGCAATTTGGCTATTCTTCAAAAAGTGAAACAAAGGGAACCAGCAGTTAGCGTAATGGCTATGTCGCTGGACTCCCACGTAGTCGACCGCGGTTCGTGTCCTGGACCCAGTGGCTTAAAACTCACGCCGGGCGCGTGTGCGTGCGTGCCCAAGATCCCGAGAGGAGAATGGAGGAGAAGGGATTGCGGCGTGACCATCCCCCCTGGGGGGTGATTTCTCGCTTTCTGTCTCTATGTCTCTCTCTGTCTGTCTGGCGAGCACACGCGCCCTACAGTGAAAATCTCTCCAAAAAAAAAAAAAAGTGAAACAAAGAGGAGCCAGCAGGTGTTATAGTGGTTAAGGTGCTAGACTCCCACATGGTCGCCCATGGTTCAAGTCCTAGACATGATGGCTTGAAACTCATGATGGGCATGTGTATGTACATGCCCAAAACACAAGAAGAGAATGGAGAAGTGACTGCAGCATTGCCATACCCCCCAGGGGATGATTTCTCACTTTCTCTCTGTTTCTGTGTCTCCAGCTAGCACATGTGCCTTATAGCAAATAATCCCTACACCCTTAAAAAAAAAAAAAAAAAAAAAAAACCCACAGAATTTTGTGTGTATGTGTGTGTGTATATATGACCCACCAATTCTACTCCTAGGTATATACCCAAGGAATTCAAAACAGAGCCTGAGATACTTGTATGCCAATATTCATTGAAAAGCATGATTCACAACAGCTAAAAAGAAAAAATAACCCAACAGATAAATAAAATGTGATCTACACATATAAAAAAAACTTCAAAAAGTTCATAGAAAAATTGAATTAAAGTATGTTTATGGTGCAAAAAAGAAAAAGTGAAAACTATTTTATACATTTTCCATGAACTTTTGAAGACTCCTGCCCAAAGAATCCTATTCAGCCACAGCAGGAATAAAGTTCTGAAACACGTTACAACACAAATAAATTTTGAAAACATTAAGCTAAGTAAAATAAGCCAGACACAAAAGGATAAATATTATAATTCTACTTAGTGAAATATCTAGAGTAGGCATATTTAATTAAGCGAGACAACAGTGAGATGCTACCAGGGATTTGGAAGAGAAGGGGATAGGGAGTTACTGTTTACTGAGTATGGCATTTGGAGTGATGGAAAAGTTTTGGAAATAGTGGTAAACACTACTCAACATTGTGACTATAATTAATGCCACAGAATTATACACTTAGAAATAGTTAAACAGGGCCAGCTCCATGGCACAGTCATAATGCATGGTTCCAAAGAAGCTGGATTCCACATGGCAAGCGCAGTTCAAATCCCCAGCCCACACCCCAGGTATGCACATGAGTACTGGACTGGAGGAAGAGGACTGTGGCATGACCAAACCACATGGAGGGTGTTCATTTCTCTCTCACCCTCTCTCTCTCTCTCTCTCACATGCGTGCACATATGCTCCATCATGACAAAAAAAAAGAAAACACATATAGCATATTTTGTTACATATATGCTTCACCACAATATACAAACAAACAAAAAATGGTAAGGAAAAATACAGGGGCCAGCAGGTGGCATAGTGGTTAAGGGTGCTGAACTCCCACATGGCAGACTGTGATTTGAGTCCCAGATCTGGCAGCTTGCTTTCTCTCTCGCACTCTCTCTCTTTCTCTATCTGTTCCTCTCTGGTCAAATTAAAATAAATAAATAAATGAGTAAATAAAGTTAAATAAAATAATTCAAAAAAAAAAAATAGTGCTTGAGAACTGGGCACTGAGAGCTGCCTCTCACATGGCTGACCATGATTTGAATCCCAGCCCCAGTGGTTTGAAAAACACACCAGGCATATGTGCATACATGCCCAAAGTCCTGATGGCTAGAGCAATGGAGGAAAAGGCTGCAATGTGACCATGTCCCATTGGGGGTGCTTTCTCTCTTTCCTTGGAGAGCATATGCACCTTCTGGGGGAAAAAAAGAGTAAATATGCCAGGCTTTTTGGGTCCTATGGTTTCTGTCACAGCAATTCCATCACTGTCATGTAAAAGCAGCTACTAAAAATATAGATAAGAACGAATGTAGCTGCATTCCAATAAGTTTACTTTCAGGGCTAGCAGTTAGCAGAGGAGTTTTATTGCTGGACTCCCACATAGCCGACCGTGGTTCGAGTCCCAGACCCAGTGACTTGAAACACGCCAGGTGCATGTGCGTGATTGCCCAAGATCTCAGGAGAATGAAGAATGGCCATCCTCCCTAAGGGGTGATTTCTCACTTTTTCTCTCTCTCTCTCTCTCTCTCGGCTGAGCACACATAACCTATGCCAAAAAAAGTCTTAAAAAAAAAAAAAAAACTATGGCTGAGCCAAATTAAAAAGCATTTATAAAACTTTATTACAGGACCAGCAAATGGCATAGCAGCTACATTACTGGACTCCCACATGGCCGACTGTGGTTCAAGATCAGAATCCGGTGGCTTCAAAATCATGCCAGGTGGGAACCGGCAGTTAGCGTAATGGCTATGTCGCTGGACTCCCACGTAGTTGACCGCGGTTCGCATCCCGGACCTGGTGGCTTAAAACCCACGCCGGGTGCGTGTGCGTGCGTGCCCAGGATCCCAAGAGGAGAATGGAGGAGAAGAGATTGCGGCGTGACCATCCCCCCTGGGGGGTGATTTCTCGCTTTCTGTCTGTCTCTCTCTGTCTGTCTGGCGAGCGCATGCACCCTATAGAGAAAAAAAACTTCTCCAAAAAAAAAAAACTCATGCCAGGTGCATGTGCATGCATGCCCAAGATCTCCAGAGGAGAATGGAGAAGGGATTGTGCTGTGGCCATCCTTCTAGGAGATGATTTCCCACTTTCCTTCTATGTCTGTCTTTCCCCTTCTCCTATGAGCACAAGTACTCTAAGGCAAAAAAACTCTTTAAAATTTTTTTTATTACAAAACAGCTTTTAGTCAAAAATAAACCACAGACAGTGAATTACCGTAATATTTCAGAAACATCTCAAGCCTTTGGGTAAGATTTTCACCAAGGGAGACACGAATCTGGAGAGAAACTTCCACCAAAACATTAGGAACATTAAAACATTTTCAGGGAGGGCAAGCACGTGGTGGTTAAGGTGCTGGATTCCCACATGGCCGACCAGAGTTCAAGTCCTGGACCTGGTGGCTAGCTTTCTTATGTTCCCTTTCTTTCTCTCTCTGGTCAAATTAAAATAATAATAATAAATATAATTAAATAAACGAATCTTAAAAAAATTTTTTTTTTCACATATTCAAATTCCCAACTTGTTTTAGCTCATGCTTTTTTCCAAAGGCACCAATTCCTACAGAGCACACATGACTTAGCCAAGATAACAGAATTTGGCTCAATCATAATGAAGCACAATTTCAATCTGAAAAGGACTGGTTTTGGTAGCCAGAGATATCCAAAGAGAAAGTTTTTCAACTAGAGAGAAGATGGTATGTAACTAAAAAATCAAATAGTGAATGGTTCTCATAATGCTACTTTCTTTCAGCTACTCTTATTTAACCAGGTACCTTATCCTTTTTCCCCAAGCTTTTTCACATTATTACCTACCTTAACGCAGAAGTAATTTAAACATTTTTAAAAAAACACTGCGAGTATGAATTCTCAAAGTCTATAGTCTCACCTTTAAATAATTTAGAACGCCGATATTTTTCATCCTGTCGGCAAAGGCATTGAAAGTCTCTACACTGCTTTTGGGATGATAAAATAGAATTTCACTTCCAAGTTTCCAAATAATCTGTCAAAACAGAAATACCACAATATATAAAATTTTTTTACTTAAGCAATTTCTGCCTAAGAAAGCTAATTTTCTTATTACAACATTGAAAAACTTATCATTCCTTTCCCTAGAGATGACTACTGCCAATGCTTTACTATACTTTATCCAGTAAAATTAAAATTATATCTTATGTAATGACACTGTTTTAATCACTTAAATTAATATCAAAATACCATATAACAATGCCATTTTTAAGAAGTCTAAAAAAGCATGCAGTTAAAACACTTAAGTATAAAAATGATAACTAATAAGTGAGGATGAATACTAAGGTCAGAAAACTTGGGTTCTCTTCATATTGGCTTCTTCACTGCTCTCAGTCTCATCTTTATTATTTGCAAAATAAGAGCAACAGTCTATATGTTTTCTGAGATCCAATCAAGTTCTACAACTAAGGAATATATATTAGTTCTATATCTAGAACTCCAATTTTGGAACTTTCACCAACTATGAACAAACTTTTATAAAAAAATATTTCCTCTTCTGACCACCAATTACGTCTTGATAAAACTGTTTATTTAAAAAAAAAAAAAAAGAAAAAAAGAAAAGAAAAGAAAAATTTTTCTGGTTGAAGAGAACAACTTCTCAAAAAAATTTTCTAAAAGAACAGAAAAATGGGGTATAGGAAGTGGAGATCAGGAGATGATCTTAAGACAGAAGCTATAGCATCTTTTTATGATGATGACAAACATCCTATAGAGAAAGGAAAATGACACAGGAAAAGAAGGAAGAATCATTGGAACCAACAAAAAGATTACTGGGGAATTTAGGAATCCAGAGTTCAGAGTACTTTAGTTTCTTCTAAAATAATATTAGATAAAAAAAAGGGGGGGGGATGGAGTGTGCAAAAATAAGTTCCAATAAAAACTCTCCACCCAAAATTACTTTTGGTAGCTTTTAGTAAATTCATTTAAGATCATTGTTAGTAGCTTTTAGTAAAATCAGTTATAGAGTCTGCAAAAGCTAGAGTGGGTACAGATGAAGGCAGAAACTCCTAGGAATCGGTCATTTCTTCCAGCAGACTCACATTTTGTTTACCTCAGGCGCAGCCTGCCTTTTACAGCTGTCTGAGTCTTCCAAAGTCTGAAAATAACTGTACATGTATTCTGCAGCTTGCTGCCACTGGTGCTTCAGCAGAGCTTCTTGGATAAAACTTAAACAAGCACCTGTGGTCTGAGCAAAATCCTTCTCCTTCTTCCCTCCAGTAGCTATAAAGATGAAAAAGTAGTCTTTATCAACATTGACTAATTCAACTCTTCAAAAAATGTCCTCATGCTAAATAAGTTTTAATAAGAAGAGCAGGCATTACATAACCCAACCCATCCCAGTATCTAATCCAGCTTCGTTCAAAACAAACTCTTCCACACTATATTAATTATTTTTGGCAAATTTTAAAACTACCCAATTTGATATTCTTGAGCTATAGTTACCAGATCCTTCAAATCTGATTCAATCATCATTTCATCCTTGCACTAAACAATTTGGGAAGAATTTGTCAAAAGCACAGTCTCAAGGAACTCAGAATATAGTCTTTATTACCTACCAATTTTCTGAAAAGCCCAAGAAAGTTTTTATTTCTCAAGAACCAAGTTCCCAGTAATGTAATGAATGGTATTAAATGAAAATGAGATCAAAACAGTTGTAGATATTAGCATTTATATCTCTAATGTATTGGCAACCTTCATACTAAGGATATGTGGGTTTACTTATAGCCCCATTATATGAATGGCTTGTTGCTCTGCTACCTCTTTTTCCCTTTCCACACAACTGCAAGACCTCAATTGGCCAGCAGTCTTCCAGCTGGGTACACTCACTTCTGTAAGTACGGAAAGACCAAAAGATACCATGCAAAGATTCTTTCAAAACCATCATCAATCTGTAGGTCTTTGACTTCCTTTCACATTCTTTTCTAAAACTAACCTCCTAGAGAGCCACACCTATTTAGAGCTAAACCTTCATGATCAAAATGATTATGTTTTACCTAAAGGTGACAATAAAGGTGTTGAAAAAGTAGACAATTCTAACATCTCCTTTTGCAAGTCAGGTGATCCCCAATTCTACATTAATCAAAATTGTGGAATGACCTAATAATTTTTATAGATCACTGAGTAATTTTTCATTAATAATTTAGAGAGTTCAATGACATAATGCACTATTTTAATTACTCTATTTGCTGGTGAAACTTACACGAACAAGGTTTCTCAGCATTTACATCAATTACAACAAATTACAATATAATTTATGTTACATTTTCATTACAAGAAGTAGAACAGAAAAAGGAACAATATAAAATTTCCATCTATAAAAAGCATTTTCATAAATTTTTGGGGGGAGAGGTTTTTGCTATAGGGTGTGTGCATTTGCCAGAAAGACAGAGAGACAGAAAGAAAGCACTCCCCCCGGGGGAGGATGGCCACACAGCAATCCTTTCTCCTCTATTTTCTTCTCGGGATCTTGGGTGCACATGCACATACACCTGGCGTGAGTTTAAGCCACTAGGTCTGGGACTCAAACCACAGTCGACTACATGGGAGTCCAGTGAAATAGCCATTACGCCAACTGGTGGTCCCACTTTTTCATAATTTTTTTAAATGGAAGGTATACATACCTATGCTATTTAGAGTCCATTGATATAATTTTTAAATATAATAATTTCATTTAAAAAATGCCAACTTAGGGGCCAGCAGATGGTGTGGTGGTTGGGCGTTGTATTCCCACATGGCAGACTGTTCAAGTCCCAGACCTAGCAGCTTGCTTTCTCACTTTTCTTTCCCCCTCTCTCTTTCTTTAGTTGTAAGTACATGTGCCCTATAACAAATTTTCAAAATAATAAAAAATAAAACAATTCTTTTTTAATAAATGCCAAACTATGCTGGAAATTATCTCTTACAATGAATAAATTTATAATAAAATTTTAGATGGAATCTTTTTAAAGCTATGCAAAATAATACACAATTTTTCCAAAAACGCAAAATAGGCAAAATGTAAGTGGAAAAGTTTGAAAACTACTGCTCTCATCTAGCACTTCTTGGACTTTTCTAACATATATACAGATTACCTGGGAAATCTGATCCTTGCTACCCAGTGTGGTCCTGGAACCTACAGGAGCATTATCACCATAAGCTTAATAGTGGTTAAAGGGGCTTGATTCACACGGTCAGTTGTGATGCAACTACTACCACCATTGGCCTAAAAACCATGAATCTCCAATATTTAGCCAATTTCAGATATAAGTACTCAATAAATACCAATGGGGAAAAAAATGTACATCCACCAGCATACACACTATCTGCTAATTCAAAGCCAAAGAATTCTAAAAGAAAAAATAATTATGATTTTTTTTTTAATTTTGCCATAGGGTGCATAAGCTTGCAGAAGACAGACAGACAAAAGAAAGTGAGAAAGTACCCCCCATGACAAATGGTCACACTGCAATCTTCTCTCCAATTCTCCCTCCTTTTGGGATTTTGGACATGCACACATATGCCCCTGGCATGTTTTTCAAGCCACTGAGTCAAGGACTTGAACCATGTAGTCGGCTATGTGAGATCTGGCCACCTTAACCAAATTGTGAAAAAGTGGGATCAGCAGTTGGCGTAATGGCTATGTCACTGGACTCCCATGTAGTCGACCGTGGTTTGAGTCCCAGACCCGGTGACTTAAACTCACGCCAGGTGTATGTCCATGCGTGCCCAATGTCCCAAGAGGAAAACAGATAAGAAAGAATTGCTGCATGGCCATCCCCCCTGGGGGAGTGATTTCTTTCTGTCTCTCTGTCTTTCTGGCAAATGCACATGCCCTATTGCAAAAACTTCTCCAAAAAAAAAAAAAAAATTTATGAAAAAGCTTTTTATAGATGGAAATTTTATGTTGTTCCTTAACCACCTTAACCATCATGCTACAGGGTGGCCCACGATGATTTCTTTTTGCTTACAGACAAAAAAAAAAACCAACACATATTCCTATCTTGAAATATTGAACCAGCTTATTCATTTTGTATCCACATTAAATATTCCTGTCTCCTTGAATTAAAGTTCAAATGTCCCTGCTATTTTACTTACCCACAGTTTCTATATGCTTTTGAAGCCAAGGAAAATGCATTCCTGTACCAGAGGGCACAGACGGTTCCACCTGGTCATCCTCTGTCTCAGGCCTTGTCAGTTCGTCACTGAAATCACTCATACCTATTCCAAACTGAGAATAAGTTACTTTCTGCACATCTCCATCCACTGGCTCAAAAAAGTCACCTTTTATCTGATAAATATCATTTGATCAGCAAAATTCATTTTAAAGTCAAAAATGAATTTACGTCAGCAACAGTCAAAAGGAATGAGCCAATCAAAAAGAAACTGAACTACTCTTTCAAGCACATTCCAAGATAATTAAGACGCTGCCGTTCTAATTAAAAACAAAGCAAAACTCAAGTCTAGAGGAAGAAACAACAAAATGCTAAGAAAGTATGACAAGTATAATAAAAACAGTAGCAGTCAATATTTACTGGACCCTTACTCATAACAGGTGAATAAACTATACACTTGAATCACCACAGCAATCCTGAGAGGGATACTATTATTTTATTTCCACGTTAATGTTGAAAAAAACGGAGGAGCTCAGTGAAATTCATCTGCTCATGTCATAAAAACGGTTAAGATAATATTCTAGTAAATAGATAAAACGCCAAACTAGCCCAGCATGACTAGAATTTAGGGTGTATATGAAGGAGGGGGGAGGGAGGAAGGAGGTAGTTAACAGGACTGTGAGGAACGGATAGAAAGGGACTCCCGTGCTAAGCGAGTCGGGACCTACTCCTCGGGATGCTCAGCGCCCCGCTCCCTGGTTATCAAATCGGATCTCAGTGCCGGCGATACTGCCTCCGGGAGTTCTCCAATTTCCCCTCTTCTCTGCAAGCCTACACCAGTACCCAGGATCAAAGCACCTTCACCGGTGCATCGTCACTGCATTCGCTTTCTCACTTGTGCTTCTCTATCTTACATTCAGAGTAAACCGTTTAAGACGGTTTCGTGCGTAGGACCACGAGTGTGAAATAATCTCTGAATGTGAATCCGACCCACCCTGTATTCGTAGGAGTCATTACACAAATCCTCACTTCCCAAATCCTCTAAGACCCAAATTGCATGAGGCGGTTGCCACAGTAACCAAAGCTACTCCACTCCCCTCGCTTTCACAGATTCCAACGTGTCAGGGCATCCGGAAAAAAAATCGGAAGATTACAGTGCATCCTAACATATCTCCTCCCATTCCACTCCAAACGCAGGAACCTAGACGACCTTCGCGGACCTCACCTGCACGAAGCTGGAGCTCCTCTACCAAGCTACTCCGACTTCAGAGTCCGCGGCAGGATGGGGAAACTCGCCGGAAGTAGTTAGCGAGCGCTTCGAGTGAGCATGCGCAAAACCTGCCAGGGGCGTGTCCCATGCGTGCCCAATGTCCCAAGAGGAAAACAGATAAGAAAGAATTGCTGCGTGGCCATCCCCCCTGGGGGAGTGATTTCTTTCTGTCTCTCTGTCTTTCTGGCAAATGCACATGCCCTATTGCAAAAACTTCTCCAAAAAAAAAAAAAAAATTTATGAAAAAGCTTTTTATAGATGGAAATTTTATGTTGTTCCTTAACCACCTTAACCATCATGCTACAGGGTGGCCCACGATGATTTCTTTTTTGCTTACAGACAAAAAAAAAAAACAACACATATTCCTATCTTGAAATATTGAACCAGCTTATTCATTTTGTATCCACATTAAATATTCCTGTCTCCTTGAATTAAAGTTCAAATGTCCCTGCTATTTTACTTACCCACAGTTTCTATATGCTTTTGAAGCCAAGGAAAATGCATTCCTGTACCAGAGGGCACAGACGGTTCCACCTGGTCATCCTCTGTCTCAGGCCTTGTCAGTTCGTCACTGAAATCACTCATACCTATTCCAAACTGAGAATAAGTTACTTTCTGCACATCTCCATCCACTGGCTCAAAAAAGTCACCTTTTATCTGATAAATATCATTTGATCAGCAAAATTCATTTTAAAGTCAAAAATGAATTTACGTCAGCAACAGTCAAAAGGAATGAGCCAATCAAAAAGAAACTGAACTACTCTTTCAAGCACATTCCAAGATAATTAAGACGCTGCCGTTCTAATTAAAAACAAAGCAAAACTCAAGTCTAGAGGAAGAAACAACAAAATGCTAAGAAAGTATGACAAGTATAATAAAAACAGTAGCAGTCAATATTTACTGGACCCTTACTCATAACAGGTGAATAAACTATACACTTGAATCACCACAGCAATCCTGAGAGGGATACTATTATTTTATTTCCACGTTAATGTTGAAAAAAACGGAGGAGCTCAGTGAAATTCATCTGCTCATGTCATAAAAACGGTTAAGATAATATTCTAGTAAATAGATAAAACGCCAAACTAGCCCAGCATGACTAGAATTTAGGGTGTATATGAAGGAGGGGGGAGGGAGGAAGGAGGTAGTTAACAGGACTGTGAGGAACGGATAGAAAGGGACTCCCGTGCTAAGCGAGTCGGGACCTACTCCTCGGGATGCTCAGCGCCCCGCTCCCTGGTTATCAAATCGGATCTCAGTGCCGGCGATACTGCCTCCGGGAGTTCTCCAATTTCCCCTCTTCTCTGCAAGCCTACACCAGTACCCAGGATCAAAGCACCTTCACCGGTGCATCGTCACTGCATTCGCTTTCTCACTTGTGCTTCTCTATCTTACATTCAGAGTAAACCGTTTAAGACGGTTTCGTGCGTAGGACCACGAGTGTGAAATAATCTCTGAATGTGAATCCGACCCACCCTGTATTCGTAGGAGTCATTACACAAATCCTCACTTCCCAAATCCTCTAAGACCCAAATTGCATGAGGCGGTTGCCACAGTAACCAAAGCTACTCCACTCCCCTCGCTTTCACAGATTCCAACGTGTCAGGGCATCCGGAAAAAAAATCGGAAGATTACAGTGCATCCTAACATATCTCCTCCCATTCCACTCCAAACGCAGGAACCTAGACGACCTTCGCGGACCTCACCTGCACGAAGCTGGAGCTCCTCTACCAAGCTACTCCGACTTCAGAGTCCGCGGCAGGATGGGGAAACTCGCCGGAAGTAGTTAGCGAGCGCTTCGAGTGAGCATGCGCAAAACCTGCCAGGGGCGTGTCGGCGGAGCCCGGACGCAGCCCCGCCCCTAAATCCTCCTCCGAAGTTGGCGCACCGTGTGTGCCGCGACCCCGGAAGTGACTCTTGGATGTGACCAGGAAGTGACAACAGAGTGCCGCCCTTCCATTGGTGTGGCCGAATATTTACGTCTTAAACTCTCGCAGGCTGAGAATGGAATACTTTCATTACAACTGAAGATAGAAATTAAGAGAGAAGTAGTCAAAAGAGCAGAATGTCACTGTACACGGAAACTGTACAATGGCCCCTCGGTTTTTGCTTGCAGTGTGCGAGGGAGACTTGATTTTTGGCTCTGACAAGATAAGTTCTTGCATAACCTTGTCATTGCTTCCTTAAAAGTTCATTTTTCTTTTGTTACAATTTAATTTTTTTAATTCAACAGGTTCGACCGCTTCCGTCACACTCTGGGCAAGAATCTCTTTTTCTTTCTAAGTGAGGGTTTCTATGGACCCATCTGGGATCCACTTTAATGGAAGACCTTGACAAAGTATATGGAAAAGGTGTTAGATCCGCCCCTCAATGGCCTTTAAGTAATTTCCGATCAGAAAATGAGATGGTTGCTGGGGCCTTTGCCCAGAATCCTCCATCCAGAGCCCTCCTTTACTGGCAGCAGACACCGATAATAAGGTAACTGTGGCAAGTAAGCTAACTGAAGTGCCCGCCATCCTTGTAACCCTTCCCCTCCATCCCTCCCATATCTCTTAGGGCTGGTGGGCTGAAGCCCCAGACGATGTTTTTCTCAATAAACTTAACTTTTCTTCTTGACATGGTACCTCCTGAGTCTTACTCTGAACCCTAACAAGAAGGGTAAAAAATACGATAGTCAAACCATATAAAAATGAAAACTATTGAGAGGTTCAGGAGAGGATGACTTTGGAAAAGGGTATGAAAACCAGTCAGAGACTTGGGAGAACAGATATGCTTCTCCAACATTTGGAGGAGTGGTCTGCAAAAGGGTCAGACAATTTTTTTCATAGCCTCTGAGGACAGAACTAGGTCTAATTGTGAAAGAAAGCTAAAATAAGGCATCTTTAAAGTCTTTGCAAGAAAGAATTTTGTTCATAACTAAGGGAGCAGAAGCACTGGCACAGGTTCCTCCAGGAATCTTTGAGTTTCTTCTCTGAGAATGAACCATTTAAGTATAATCAGAGTATCACAGAGTCAGCTTAAGGGTCTAGTAAGAGCTTGTCCATGGATTCCTTAACATGCCATAAATTCTTGTTTGTGTGTTCTTCATGAACAATACACAGTGATTATGGGCTTGCAAGAAAAGTTTCTTCTGCTGCTCTTTACATCTTGACCTCACTCAAGCCTGTCTTTCTATTTTGAAAAACTGTATCATTACCTACAGGCCAATGATCCACCCTAAAATGTCCTAAAAAAGAGATTCCTTACATCTTATAAAAACAAACTTCACCAATTTTTTTCACCTTTGACATGACATAGTGCCAGGATTCCTAGCATATCTTCTACAGGAAGGAGACATTGCTCTTGACACATTACATCTCTTTGATCCTATTTCAGACAACCTATTTTAGCCATTAAAAAAAGAAAACTGAGAGCAGCAAAGGGTTTACCAGTTGTATTACTGGACTCCCACATAGTTGACTGCAGTTCAAGTCGCAGACCCAGTGGCTTAGAACTCACACTATGTGTGTGTGCATGCCCGAAATCCCAGGAGGAGAATGGAGAAGGGATTGTGGCATGGCCATCCCCCATGGTGGGTGCGGGGGTGGTGGTGGTGATTTCTAGCTTTCCCTCTCTGGTGAGCGCATGTACCCTATAGCAGAAATCTTTGGACGAGAGAAAGAAAGAAAGAAAGAAAGAAAGAAAGAAAGAGCATATATTCTACTGACCTTAAATGTCTAATCTATGTCAGGCACCTGCAAAATTTTCTATAAAGAAACAGCAAATAGTTTAGTTTGATGGCCATATGATCTCTGTTAAAACTATTCAACTCTGATATAGCACAAAATGCAAATGAGTGAGTATATCTGTGTTATATTAAAGTTTATTTACAAAAGCAGGTGTCAGGCCGGATTTGGTTTGTGGGTCATAGTTTGCAGATCATTGCTCTAGAATATCAATTAATGTTTATGCCAAAGGTTTGGCTGTGCTGTATGCATACAAACATACTTATACACCTAAATGCAATTTTAAAGATACATAATCATCTTAGTGGTGATTTTTACATCAAAAAGAGGTTTACTAAAACATAATTACTAATATCATCATGCATCTTAGTCATTACAACACTCATTCACTCTACATTACTTCTCTTGCATACTCTTACAGTTAGCAGATGCCAATGCTAGGGATTTTTTTTTTATTTTACATTTTTCCATCTGTCAAATGTTTTCTCCCTTTTTTGCACCTCACACCCAACTTCCACCACCTACTTTCTACCATCTGCTGTCTTCCCCTACAGTCTCTAGCATTCATACCCATCCTTTCCACCATCATATCTTCAGATCTCTCAACCTCTGTCATAGAGTGCAGCAATAGGTACACGTGGGGTGAGGATATACAATGTGTACCTTTCAAAGTCTGACTCACTTTGCTCAACAAAGTCTTCTATTCATCCACTTTGGATCAAACAAGAGGATCTCACTGTTTCCTATAACTGAATAATGGTCCATAGTATATATGTGCCACCCAGTGTTTCAACCCAGTCATCAGTTTTTGAACACTTAGGCTCATTCTATGTTTTAGCAATTGTGAATAATGCTACAATAAACCTGGATGTTCAAGTGTCCTTCTGATTATTTCCCTATCCTTTGGGTAAATATCAAGGAGTGGGATTATAGGGTCATATGGTTGTTCTATTTGTAGCCTTTTGAGGAACATCCATATTGGTTTCCATAGAGGTTGAACTAAATTATATTCCTATAGTGTAAGAGGGTTCCCTTTTCACCACAGCCTCACCAGCATTTGTTCTTTATTTTTTTGATCCTAGCCATTCTAACAGGTTAAATGGTATCTCATTGTGATTTTAATTTTCATTTCCCTTATGACAAACTTTTAACATTTTCTATGTGCTTTTTGGCCATTTCTAGGTCTTCTTTGGAAAGTTATCTATTCAATTCATTTGTCCATTTTTTAATTGAAATAATTATTCTTAAAAAAAATTTTTTTGCAGAGGTTTTTGCTATAGGGCACATGTGCTCACCAGAAAGACAGAGACGGAGAGACAGAAAGCGAGAAATCACCCCCCAGGGGGGATGGCCACGCCGCAATCCCTTCTCCATTCTCCTCTCAGGATCTTGGGCACTCACACACACCGGCCAGGCGTGAGTTTAAGCCACCGGGTCTGGGACTCAAACCATGGTCGACTACATGGGAGTCCAGTGACATAGCCATTATGCTAACTGCTGGTCCTTTGTTGATGGTTTTTTATGTTTATGTTATGCTCTTTTCCTTAACTGATAAGAGAAAATATGGATATGGAATATTTACAATTATAGGTGATTTGTTAATTGTTCATATTTAGTTTCAAGTACTACATTTCTAACTGGAATGGTAGAACTATTCTCACTAAAGGGAGTTTGGAAATGCATAGAAGAAATTTTTATTTTGTTACCATGACTAAAGATACTACTATAATTTTGTAATCAGAACCAGGGATGTTATACAGTATATCATGCAACTAGTAAAAATGTCCAACCCAAATGTCAAAAAAGCTCTATCAAAAAACTGCATAATTAAATAACATGCTCTGGTCCCTTATTTAACCACAATTGAGTTTTTCTACAATTCTGTCTAAAGGGATAAGGGTATTCATGCAAATTGCTTTACCATCCATTTAAATGTAAATTTTTATTTCTTTATGTTGGTTAAGAACAGTAAATATGTATAAGTTGATTATGAGAAATAATAAAGGCATGACTAATGCAAGAGCTTAATGATGACTAATAGCTTATACTTTTTATTGAAAACTTCAGATTCATCTAAAATGTCATTGAAGTTCTCAGATATCAAAAATAATTCTCAATCTCTGTGAACAAACATAAATTAGGGTTTTTAAAACAGCCACCTCATTCTTTCTCTCTTCTGCCAAAGTCCCTGAAGAGCTTGGCCAAAAAAGTTTTAAATCCTACAACATAATTTTAAACTTTGCTTTTCTTTAAGATAAGTGTATATGGAGCCAGCAGATGGTGTAGCGGTTACAATACTGGACTCCCACGTGGCCAATCACTATTCAAGTCCCAGACTCAGTGGCTAGAAAATCACACTAGGCCCATATGCATGCATGCCCAAGATTCCAAGGGGTGAATGAAGAAGAAGGGATTGTGGCATGGCCATCCCCCTGGGGGGGGGGTGATTTCTTACTTCCCCTCTCACTGTCTCTGTCCCTCTCTCCTGAGCAAGTGCACACACCCTAAGACCAAAAAAAAAAAAAAGAAAAGAAAAGAAAAAGAAAAGTGTACATAAAAGAATGTATAAATATATGGTATAGATCTGGTTAATTTTCAATCCTTACTATCTAGAGCTATGACTGGCTTTAAATGTGCTCTAAACTGAAATGTGTTGTATTAGATGTCAAAGATTTCATATGAAATAAAGAATATAAAATGTCTCAATAATTTTATGTTGATTATATGTTGAGGTGATGATATTTTGGATATATTGGATAAACAAAATGATTATTAAAATTGGGCCAGCAGTGACATAGTAGTTAAGGTACTGGACTCCTGCATGGCCTACCTCAGTTCAAGTCCCAGACCCAGTGGCTTGAAAATCATGCCAGGTATGGGTGCATACATGCTCAAAATCCCAAGAGGAGAATGGAGAAGAAGGGATTGTGGCATGACCATCCTCTAGGGAGTCGGGGGGAAGGAGTGAATTCTCACTTTCCCTCTCACTGTTTCTGTCTCTCTCTAGCAAGTGAACATACCCTATAGCAAAAAAGATTTTAAAAAGAA